CCCCGCGGGGCAAGTCCCGGGCTAGGACATGACCACGCGGGGCGGCCTGGCCCCTAGGGTCCGCAGGCAAAGGAAACCCCCAGCCCAGCGCCTGGCTCTGCGGGCTCCTTGGCATCGCCTAGATCGCGCTCTCCCCTCTCTCTCTCTCTCTCACACACACACACACACACACACACACACATGTATACACACGCACACATATACATCCATACACACACATGCATACACGTCCACACATGCAAACACACACAGATACACATGCGAACATACACACGAACATATATACACATACACATGCATGCACTACACATGCACATATACATATGCAAACACACGGATACACATGCGAACACACACACGAACATATATACACATACACATACATATGCATGCAGGCACATACCCATATATGCACATATACGTATGCAAACACACATACGAACTCACACATACACACCCCCCCCTGCACCTATGCAAACATATACACACACATACACATAAGCAAACACACACGCCCAGGCTCTTGCCCCGCTTGCACCAGGGCAGGGTGGGGCCGACCTCCGCCTACCTGGGAGCTGGCCTGGCGGGTGAGGAGGACAGGTGCAGTCCACACTTGGGGGCTTTCAGGGGTCCTTTCCTTTCCCTCGCGCTCGGAGCCGTCTCTTCGCCAACTTGGGATCAGCTTTTCTCCCAATCAGAGCCTGGACGCGGGATTTTTATAGCTTAGACCCTCTTCTGGAATCACGCAGCACTCGCCTAATAAGCTGACGCTTCCTTGACAGCTCGATTGCGTGCCCCGATCCACTGCTGAATAAATCATGGGGGCCCGCGCGGAGCCGCGATGGGCAGAGTTTTGCTATCGCAGCCCGGAATCTCACATCCAATTATATCAACAGATATTTATCGCCTCGTTGGTGACGTCAGCCAGCCCCGGGACAGAGACAGCGGAGCGGGGCTCTCTCCCATTGACAAAAATACTTGAATGAGATTTCCCAAGGGGAGCGAAAAGCGGCAGCAGCGCCCGACCTCTTACTATGAAAGGTCAAAGCGAGGGAAAACTTTCCACTCGAGTCCCGCCTGGGCACGACTCTGGAGGCTGCCGCCCGGCCCCAGGGCCAGGCAAGGGCATGTAAGAGCCCTGGTCAATTTCGGGGCATCTAAAAGTCCTTCTAGGAGCCCTGGTCCATTTCAGGGCATCTAAGAGCGGGGACCTGATCAGCCCAGGTCCCAGACTGAGCTGGGCGCTCCCAGCCCAAGCCGACTTGTAGGCAGGAGGTGCGAAGTTTTCTCTAGCACCAAGCCTTGGGACGGGCTGATTTTGTCTCAAGACAACCCGTCCCACCGAGACAGCGCTCCTCCGATGGCTCTAAGCGTGAAAACGCCTAAGAACCCCAATTCCTGGCAAGCCACAAGAAATAACCCAGCCCCTGGAAAAGCCAGGGGCAGGGGCTGAAATTTGTTCCACCGGTGTCTGAACAGGAGAGGTGGGACATGTGAAGCTCCGTGGAGCAGCCGGCAGATCTCGCTGCTCCAGCCCCCCTTAGGTATAACACAGGGTCCACTTAGATTAGTGGGGCCGATGCGCTGGGAGCAGAAGTGAGATGCCCCTGGTGAGGCAGTGCTGTGCTTTGGGGAGATAACACATCCGGTCCCTTCCAGCTCTGGGACACACCAGAGACATGGGGCTGGGCTGAGTTGTCCTGGTGTTCTCGCTGGCAAGTGGCAACGGTGATGCTGCCGCTCCGGGACTCTCACTGTCAGGGACATCAGCAGGGAAACTGCCCTGGCATATGAAAGCGACCCGGGACGGGCAGCCCGGCAGCAGGCAG